GTGGAAATTCTCTAAACACACTTCTCTGGGGAATCCCTGGATCCCCTGAGAGAGGACTTGGGTTCCTGCACACTTCCCAGTCTGCACCCTGGTTAGGCTCTGAATACCTTCCTGCCGTGTGGACAGAGACCTGGATTCCTCAGGATTCCTCATCCTCGGTATTGGAGGGCCGGTGGGTTTCTGAAAGCAGGTTCGGAGAGCTGACGTGGTGTCCCAGGTCACACAGCTCATTTGCAGTGGGGCTGGGATCCCAGTCTAGTGCTGAGCCAGAGAAAGAGACAAGACGAAAGGTCAGTAGACTATTCAAGGCTGAGCTTTGCCAAACCCAGTCTGTGACCAAGGGCAAGTCATTTTCCTCTTTGGGCGGCGGTACCTCATCTGTCAAAGGGGTAACCACGAGGCTCACGGGAGTCAAGGCAAACTCTGACGTCCTGTGGAAATGCAGAGCATTTTCTATTCCAAGGAATACCAAGAGAATTCCAAGGAATTCCAAGAATTCCAAAGAATACCATCCAGTTATTTGCAAATGGCACCAGCAAATCCACACACATATATATATATTTATTTGAAAGAGACTTTGTGTGCGTGCGCACACACAAGCAAGGGGGTGAGAGGGAGAAAGAATCTTTTTAAAAAAATTTAATGCTTATTTATGTATTTTTTTTAATGTTTTGTTGATTTTTGAGAGTTAGAGAGAGACAGAACGTGAGCGAAGGAGGGGCAGAAAGAAAGGGAGACACAGGATACTGACGTGGGGCTAGATCCCACAACTTGTGAGGTCACGACCTGAGCCGAAGTCGGACGCTTAACCCATGGAGCCACCCAGGTGCCCCTGGAGAAAGAATCTTAAGCAGGCTCCACGCTCAGCACAGAGCCCAATTTGGGGCTCTATCCCACCACCCTGGGATCACAAACTGACCTGTATTAAGTTCAGGAAAAACAGAATTCCTTTTTCTCACTCTTTTGGGTCCTTTAAGCTCTGTTAAGTCAAGAGCCAGACTGTGGTTTTGTGTGTGAGGACAGATGGAGCAAGAATGTGTGTGTGTGTGTGTGTGTGTGTGTGTGTGTGTGTGTCCGTGGGAATGTGGAGGAGGGGCTGTGAGGTGACCAGGCTGGAACTGTCTCCATTCTGGCCCCCCACAAATCCACTAAATGAGCTCAGGATAAAATGACCTTCCCTTCTCAGGGTCTCAGTTTTCCCAGCTGCAGAGTGGGGGCCCTATGGGGACAGAAGGGAAGAGTCACAGTACATGATGGCTGACTTTCTCCCTTGCCATCCCAGAAGCTTGCCTAGCCCCCTCCCTGAGCCCCACCCCATTCTTCCTGCCTTAGACTTGGTAAGTCAAGAGGGACAGATTGCAGCTGGGACCCCAGCAGCCTGACTCATGAGCAGCGGGCTGGGGCCTCCCCCGGAGCCAGTCCTGGCAAGCAGAGAGCAAAACCTCACCCCGGTTCTCTCCCCCCGCCCCCTTCCCTGGGGCTATAACGGTTGCTTTTGTTGGCCAGTATTGTATGTCCAGGCTCTTTTCCACTGAGGAACCCTTTGTTAGGAAGAGCGGACAAGGGAACATAACTCAGAGTCTGGGCAGAAGGTGGAGGAAAGGGCTGGGTGGCAGGCCCCATTTCTGGAGGTGAACAGGGCCAAAGCAAGGAGGGAAGTTCTGGGTTCCCTGACTCTCACCTTGGGATTCTCGCACAGTGGAATACGGCTTGGGTGTTTCTCTCGCTGATGGTTCTCCAACATTTATCCAACGCTCCTTCTGTCCAAAGCGCTGGCAGCGGAGAGGGATATGCAAAGAGCTTGCACTGCACGGTCAGGAGCCAATTGGAAGATATGACAGGTGCACGAGAAAGCCTGAAAACCGGGTAAGACAGGAAAAAGGAGAGTGCTCTGGATGAAGGCGCGGAGTCACGGGTGAGCGTTATGGGGATTCCAGAAGGAAAGGGGCTCAGGGCAAGTTCAGTGGAAGGCTTGGGTCCAAGCCAAAGCCCATAGTCCTTGGAGTACACCATGGTGCCTGCACAGGA